CGGCAATTTGACCTTCGACCCCCCCCCCCCCCCCCCCATCCATATCCCTTCGCAACGGCCCTGCATATAGGGTTTCGTACGTGGTGCCAAAAGTTGACTTGAAAACAAGCTTTTTAGCTTATTCAAGATACCAAACTTGGCATGGGGCTGAGGTCTATGGAGGTGGTAAAATTGTCGTAACAAATTAAAAGACCTTAATTGACCTTTCGCCTTATAAGTAAAATTTTGATCTAGACAAGTCAAGACAAAAATTTAATCACAGCTTCAAAGAGCATCACAAAATTAGTAATATTCCGAAGTTTCGTTGTGAAATGTTGTAAAATGCGGATAATATAGCCTTGCGAAGTTTGCCGTTTTTCAGTAATATTGTATTACAAACGGGAAATTGATGCCCCAACACCCGATTTCCCACGCGTAATACAAAATGCCCTGAAAAACGGCAAACTTCGCAAGACTATATTATCCGCATTTTATAACACTACGCAACGAAACTTTGGAATATTACTAATTTTGTGATGCTCTTTCAAGCTGTGATGAAATTTTTGTCCAGATCAAAATTTTAGTTACAAGGGGAAAGGTCCATTCTCCATCGTTCACGTGCACGCTACATGGAGTATTGCAAGCTTTGCGATTTTTCTTCTAGAATTTAAGCTTCAGTGCAGAATATTGTGCAGAATGAAATGGCTGCTGTGATCGTTCTAGATTACTTATTGTCATTGAAACCTATCTCTAATTTAGATATTGACGAATGTTCTACGGGAACTCATACATGCCATGCTAATGCAACCTGTACGGATACAATTGGTTCCTATACCTGCGCATGTATAGAATTTTTCACTGGAAATGGGACATACTGTGAAGGTAGGAAAAAAGAGATTTGAGTTTCTATTGTAGCTTGATCGAAGGCTTCCATCCTTTAGAGAGATTTTTTTCAAAATTCTTACCATAGGAATAGTATTGATCTTCGTTAGAAATAGTATGGAAATCCAATTTTTATGCTAATTTCCATACTATGGATACAGCGTGCAAATTGTTTTTGTCAAAATTTGGCGGACTTTTATAATGATTACTTCAAACAAAATAACGAACTATACAACTATAATACTCGAAATTCTACCAAGTGACATGTGAGCTATAAGAGAACAAACTATCGCAAATACACTGTATTTAACAAAGGAGTTTCTATATGGAATTGCCTTGATAAAGAAATTAAAAATATTAAATCATATTTTTCTTTTAAGAAAACTGCAAAATCCTATTACTTGATGTCTAGTTGATGTAAATATTTCAGGAATATTAATGACAGTATTCTGTAATGTACTAAATATTCCTTAAACATTTTCCATATTTGTTTGTAAATACTTTGTGTTTTTCATTGCATGAAATTGTCATTATGTACATAATCTATTTTTATATTACTGAACACTAAAACTATAGGGGCCTCGTCTTAAAAGTCCAACAGGATTTCCAGAGGTCTCTAGCCCGTTTATATATTCTTAAATATTCAACTTGTAAATATTATTTGTGGGTAAATAAGACTAATAATAATAAATATATGGATATACTGTGGATTTTATAGGCTAATTAAATTCCATAGTGTGGATTTCACTATTTCTTCATGTATAAATGTTTTCTCCATTTGTTATTTTGAGAATCACGAATTATACGAAATATTGCTAGAGTACGTGAACATTAACATAACAATGGAAATAGATTTAGAGCAGGCCTTGAATTCATTCTGTATATTTCTAGAAATCAACGACTGCGCTGAAACGGGCGCATGTCCAGATAACGCCGCAATTTGTACCGACCTATTAGGAAGATGTGAATACACATGTAAGAACGGCTTTGAAGGAGGGACATGTTCTGGTAAGCAAAATGTAATATTTCAAAATTGAGTTAGTGTGTGACAGATTTCTTTATTTTGGTGGTTCGCCTTATAGTTTATCGAGATATGGTGTAGGAACTCGGCAACTTCAAACTGTCTATATAATGGGCAACAGATTTATGTTGAAATTTGCTATTTAACACTATAGAAGGTCAAATAATTCGACGTTGTTACACCATTCGATCAACCTTTCTTCGCTTTATCTGTGGAACGAATAGTCGTATTTTGAAACAGATTCCAATTTTAATATTAATACCCACAGTATGCTGTTCTGATTAAATCTGACTACCATTGGCTAGTATATACGTTTTTGGCTACAGGTTATAGTGATGTAATTTTCCATGCAGCCAAAAACGTAACAAATTTCAACAACAAAAAACATCTGATTTGTAAAAATGATATTCTATATTCATGGAAAATTTCGTACAAGCAGGATGAAAATTAAATACGTTAGGCCTATACAATAGCATTGACGCTTTAGCATTTTTGGCTGGCGCAAACTATTTTGATTTAGTGGATTTTTAAGCCAGGCACAATATTCTTATTAGGCTAATGTGGTAATTGATAACTAGTATATATATATATATATATATATATATATATATATATATATATATATATATATATAGTTTTTCGTTTTACCTCAAAAAACCACAACAGTCTGTTTCATCCGTATAGGAATCATCAGGACCACCTGATGATTCCTATACGGATGAAACAGACTGTTGTGGTTTTTTGAGGTAAAACGAAAAACTATATTACGCTCTATCTATATGGTATTGAGCACTGTTTGTGTTTCGTAAACCAAAATCGTAAGCTATATTATATATATATATATATATATATATATATATATATATATATATATATATATATATATATATATATATATATATATATATATATATATATATATATATATATATATATATATATACAGACACAAAAACTTAGCAAGCTTTGTTTGGCATATTTATTACTATACAGTTTCGTACCACGTAAATAAACAAAGCTTGCTAAGTTTTTGTGTCTTTCAGTTATGCTCTGGTTATTCATTGAGCACTCTATATATATATATATAGCACTCTATATATATATATATAGCTTACGATTTTAAAACAATAAAATTAATAAACATGCAGTATGAACAAGAATTTTTATTTCGCTTCATCTCATTTTATCTAACAACAACAAAAATTTTCAGGGGAAAATTATAAATTTGTGGATGCTTTAGTTGTATTTTTTATTTCGGATGATGTCAAATTCCTCCTGGCTATCTGCAAATGAAATTTGCAGCTCTTCACATAGTCAAAACACAACTATTCCTGACTGCTTTAGTGAAACATTGTAAAATTTACCTTGCATGTAATTTCGACTTTCGCTAACAAAAACGTCTTGAGAAAGTTCTTTAAGGTTACTCCACATGATGAAATGGCGTTTTACAAAAATTCTCACCGCGCTCTCAATTTTTACGCTTTTGCCGTCAAATTTTGTGTGCGTGATGATAAATCATTGTTGTAACCAGCAATTTAACAAAAATGTTATATTTTAAAACACTGTGGTTGCTACGGGCTACTTTTGAAAATCTAACCTCCTTTGCGTCACAAGATTTGCACGCCGCCGATTTAAGCCTAGGACCTGCAAAACATCATATTTCCCATCTCAGATGATCAAATAACAAAAGTGTGTTCGCATTTTTTGACAGCTATTGTATTTGCTTTGATATAAAGCAGACAAGATGACTTACACAAATTTTGTATACACGGTAGAACGAATGCCTATAACTCGAAAAGTATGGCGTTAAACGAAAAACGCGAACACACTTTTGCTCCTTAACAGTTGTTCTACATTGTGGCAAAGTTTGAAAGGAATCGGATAAAACGTGCACGGTGCATTAGTCTTTTTGTGAGGACAATCTGGGAATATTTCATTCTGTGTAAAAGGCTAAAAGAGATTTCACGAGGTTTTTCCGCTGCCTGTTTTGTTTCTCCGCCCTCTGTTCTCACTTCAAACTGTAAGCCAATCAGATCGCACCTCATCAAAGTACTTTTGGCAAGGTGGTTCTGCGTAATTTATTCATGATCTGGTTTGTTATAAGTGCGTAACAGGCAAAACAAAAACATTAAATATGCCAGCAAAACGCAAATGTAGAGACTTGCACTCGCTGTTGCTGTCTGAGTCATTGCTGAAGAACAAGTTGCGGAATCCTCAAACTGTTCGGGCCATTCTTGGTCTTGGGAAAACCATGAGCCCAAGTCACTGTATGCCACCACTCGTTTCTTATTCGAATCGAATTCCATTTGCCGAAAGGATTTTTTCCTTTTTTGTTTAGAGCAAAACGGACTTGTGTTTTTCTTATGCCTCTTTGATTTCAAAGGCATTGCACTCGCGTTACTCACTACCTCTACATTGCTCACTACCGCTACAGTGTGTTTCGCTGTGCTATTGTTGTGAATAAAATATCAAAGAAATATTACACCAACCAGGTGTTACAATATAGGTTAGGGGGGCAGATCATTAATGAGGTATGGACTAATAGCGGCTGCTTAAAGCGCCATTTGTAAGCTCACAGTCTACCTCGGTCTGCTTCACGCCAGTTCCGGCTGTAATTGCAATGCGCACTTGATCATATACATATGTAAAATCGCGCAATAGAAATATTAAATATTTCACACCAATTAGCAGAAATGAGTTCACACCAATTAGCAAAATGTCAATTACAATTACTATTTTCGCGGCAAAATTATTCGAATTTAAAACATTTTCCGTTATATCTCGGTCGCATTTTAATATTTTTGAAAATAATCTTTAAGGATCGAAAGATTTTCAGCCCCTCAATTCAAATATATAAAAATGTAAAAAATGATGGAATCAGAGTTTTCATCATATGGAGTAACCTTAACCACAGCAGTTGCTCCTTTTCTTTATTTTAGGTTTAGTTTTCTTCGTTTTGAATAGTTTGAAAGACTTTTAGACACTTTTTGCCGTTTGAAACTCGGCTCTCGTCGCAGGGCAATAAAAATAGCGTATTGGCCGTGGGCAATCCGGGAAAAACCTGCCTCGTCAGCAGCCAATCGAATTGCGCGATTCATCGAAACAAATACTAATTGCCATATAATAAAATGGAATATGGAGCCAGTTTAACAAAAAGGTGACAACGAAAAGTTCTCTATTTTAGTTAGTAAAAACTGGGTGCAAGCAATTACGAGAAATATTACGAAATTTACGACTGCCATGGTATTTTTCTAACTATTTATATATACGAGATGATCTGTAAAATATTTTAAATAGCAGCTATATGCATTTGTTCAGAACAGTCATGTTTTAGTATTTTAGAACCTAAGACGATAATTTTGTTGCAGACATCAACGAGTGCCAGACAACACCCGTGGTTTGCGCCGCAAATTTGGAATGTCGGAATCTCTATGGAAATTATTCTTGTTTCTGTCCGTTTGGTCAGTGGCTTGTCAGTGATAACTGTGCAGGTATGCATTATGGTTACAACAGTATGGCGTGTTTCAACAGTAAACTTTTGTTTGGTCGATGTGGAGACCAAGATGACATTTTTGTTCTCGTGTTTTAATATTGGACCTGGTCTTTGCCCAAATATTTCGAGTTTGTCGTGCATGTCTGATGTTTCTTACTTGTTTAAATTAAATAATTATATATCCATTTATTCACTGACAAAGTTAGCCATGGTATATACAAATATCAATATTGAATAAAGTAAAGAAACCAGAAACCGCACAGAGAATACAGACACCCAAAATTCAAAATTTTGATTCTGTTACTTTATTTGTAATCGTTCACAACGAAACGTTTAGTATACGAGTCTAAATGTGGGAACCAAAACATTAGATAAAATTTAACAGTTCTTCTCAGGTACATGTCTTTGTAAGCCGTATTGCTTCGTGTAACACTCCTATAGTTTATATTTGTTGTCATGACAATGACGGTTTACGTTGCCAGTTACAGAGAAGCTTGAACCTGCTTCATCGTCGAGCAGTGACGCTGTCATGGGGAGCGCCCTTCCTTCACTGTTGCAGAGTGTAGTTTTTTGTTCGTGGAAATCCAATGAAAACTGAAGGGGTGTGGAAAATTGCCAGCAGAGTGTTGCGTATATATTCCACGCATCAACTCAGAGAATCTACTGAACTTTGTCCCAATATAAAGCTCTACGTGACTATGTCTCCACTTTATTAAATTGTCAAGTGATCTGCATGAAAACAATATTTAACGCTCCTGAAACGTTTGTTATCCAAGCGCCTCCACAATGCAGGAAATGCGCACGTATAGAAAATACAGACACCCAAAATTCAAAATTTTAATTCCGTACATTGGAGTATATGCCCCCCCCCCCCCGAAGAAATCTAATACGACCATTCTTGCAATATTTTGGAAGATCAAACAATCACCAAATACAGACTATAGACTAACCTGTCATCCGTAGAAATTATTGCTTAAATGCCGACGGAAAATGTAATTGTATTAGAGACCTTAAGATCGACGTTTACGGCAAACGTCAAACCGCTAGCGAAATTTTTATTTTACAACTCTATTATTATAGCTTTTACACCAGTTTTGAAATATGTTAAACTTATTAAGCTTGCGCTCTTTAGTAATGATTTAAGAAAGCAAATTAACCACTAGTGATGCCATTCACCAAAGCAGTAAATTAAGATTTGGCGTTTGAAGTTGACGTTTGGCGTATAAATTTCATGCTTTAACGACTACAAGCCCTCGTAGCAGTTCAAGCATGAAATCTATACGCCAAACGTCAACTTCAAACGCCAAATCTTAATTTACTGCTTTGGTGAATGGCATGACTAGTGGTTAATTTGCTTTCTTAAATCATTGCTAAAGAGCACAAGTTTAATAAGTTTAACATATTACAAAACTGGTGTAAAAGCTATTATAATAGAGTTGTAAAATCAAAAACCTCGCTAGCGGTTTGACGTTTGCCGTAAACGTCAATCTTAAGGTCTCTATTACCGATGACCAACCAATTAAGTTCCACTCGTCCGAGATTTCGTTGCAACCTACAAAATTATTTTTCATGCGAAAAACTATTTTTCCTTAGATGCGTATGTTTACGAACTGGACTTTGTTGTACTGGAAGGTCTTGATTATAACGCAGATCTAACTGATGACAGTAAAAAATACTTCTCCGACTCGTTAGTGGGCATCGAGAACGCGGTAAGCTTTTAATTAATTTTGGTTTGATATATTACATATATTTGTTTGGCTCTGGCTCCATATGCTTCTGTATAGTTTGCAACCCTGAATCCTGTTGTCCGGTTCCAGCTATTTGAGAGCTTCAGATTTGACTTCCACTACCACTATCATTAACGAACCTTTAACCAATCAAATTGATTAGAACTAACCAATCAGATGCGTACTATGTAGTGGAAGTCTAAACCTTTCTATTAACTCTGACCAAGACAACCATTTAAAAAAGACAAATTTGGCTACCGATGTTTACATCGTTGCTACTCAATTCACAAGTACTAGATAAAACATGAGCAGCCGATCTGTATTGCCAAGACTGCCAAGAAATAACTTATCAAAAACCGCGTCCAAGACGCGGGTATCTTGCGTCCACTGTGCGTCCACGGGCGCCCGCGTCCGTCTTGCGGGCGCCGTGCGTCCGTCGTGCGTCCACTATGCGTCTGCGGGCGCTTGCGGGTGCGTCCACTGTGCGGGCGCCATGCGTCCGCTTTGCGTCTGCGGGCGAGGACGCAGCTGAGAAAGAGTTCTATTCGTAGATCGTCGGAAATTATCGCGTTTCGCTTTTCATAAACAAACCGTGGGCGTCGGAAAATATTCATGTTAGCGTTTCACACCACGTTTTTATGCTTATACACAAGCGTTACAGACCTAGAATCCTAGATATTTATATTTCTAATATTAAACTTACCGTGAAATTTCAGAATTTGTGCTTTAAACCCAGTAATCTTTTAACGTTGCCGGTTGGCAAAATGCACGTATGGTTTTATATCTTCTTCGAAGAAACCCAAAATACGTTTTGGTTGACAAGTAAGCGATCGATATCTCATTTTATTAGTCTGATAGCAATACGGATCGGATCGAGTGATATTAGTCTGAGCTCTTCACTTCACATTTAGCGAATTATACTGCAACTTTGAAAATCACGCGATGAGTCACAGTCATTGAACCGTGTTGAAACACAAAGACTGTTTCCTGGACATGTAAAGGTATTCCATTAAGGGATTAAGAGAAGTCATTTATCCAGAAATTATATGGTAATTATCAATTTATATGACATATCACCATGTGCATTTACTGTTTTGGAAAAACAACACAAACTTGTTGCTGTAAATAAAATTATATAGTGGTTCGTAGTAATATGGTATTTTATATGAAAAATCAAAAGCACTATATATATTGTAAATGAGCATCTTCGTTTTAATATACTGACGAGTCACGGAGACATAACATTATTCAAATACAGAATTGCATATCAACTAATCGGCAATCTTCTACGAGGTAAGTCTGAATTTGAGTTGCAAATGAATGTGTTGCGAGATATATACTCGTTGTAGTCGTGATCTCACTGAGTTTAGTATATGTGGCTACATTATATTTATATGTCTATTCTACGCTCCAATATACAGTCATATACGCTTCAATCGCCACTCAAGTACGTGTGATTGCATTGTGAAAGCACTACGCTTACTGTAGTATAACGTATAACATTATAAAATGGTTATACTAAGTGTAACGCTTAGGTTAAATGAAACTCGATTTCGGATTCAAGTTTTTATTCTTTGCTTCTCCGATCAGTGACACTGATCTGTATTCTCACGACAAACTACGAGTATGATGCAAATATTAGTTCGTTTTTCCGATTATGTTACGACGACTGTGTCCAAGCGGACGCAGTTTTTAACTAGAGGCCGGACGCGGGCGCTTTGGAGGCAGGACGCGGGCAGAGCAGACGCAAAACGCGGGCGTCGTGGTGGCCGGACGCGGGCGCTCTGGAGGCAGGACGCGGGCAGAGTGGACGCAAGACGCGGGCGCTCTGGAGGCAGGACGCGGGCAGACGCGGGGACAAGTTATTTCTTGGCAGTACTGTAAAACAAAGGTAACTATAAGCATTAGAATAAAGGAGAACTTTAGAAATTCACCTTATTGTTCTAATTTGAATGGCTGAGTAGTATACTGAACACATGGGTGCGTAAACACTTGAATCGAATTTTGTGCAGGGGAGTTATTGAAAAGTTTTCAGTTTCGTTAAGCCCGTTTTATACGTCGAATTTCGGTCGCGTCGAATGCAATTCAAATAATAGATAATGAAGCTTAATGAAGTTTATCCTCTCATTATCTATTGTCTTAATTGCATTAGACGCGACAAAAATTCGACGTATAAAACATGCCTTAAACATATGATTATGTCCTAATTGATTTACTGCAGAGGTTGAGGTAAGAAAATACGTGCATCAAAGAAAACAGTT